ATATATTCCTGGTGTTTTTTAGGACAATTAAATCTACGTCGTCAGTGAGAAGCGCCAGTCTTGAAATCTTTGACGGTTTGTAGCTTGTATCTACAGATAGCGCTGTTCACAGGCCAACTAAATGTTAGGGAATATACCAATTAATCGGTCTGGCGCCGGAAACTCCGAAGAATAGCATATATCAGATGAAAAGGAGGCATCCCATGATGGTTGAAATGCAAATGGGAAGCAAGGTAACATACTTGAGGACTACTTTCTCCTGATTTGTTGATGCGGCCGTGTCCAGGTCATAGGTGAAGCAGCGATAGGCAGAAAAGCGTGTTGCCAGCGTGGCGCACACACCAGCTCCTCTGTACTGCCTGGCGCGTGAAACCGTCAGTTTATCTTCAGAGTTGCTGAGACTCGGACCGTGGTCTGCACCGGAGTCGGCCCGGTGAGAATATGTTCTACGCTTGGCTTCTACGGTTTCCTCGCGACTGACCGAGGCTAGATTCCGGTCGTCAGTAGACCTAGTGATTTCCGGGATCTCTGTTCTCGAGCTAAAGTTACCACGTCCTACCTCGGAGGAGCATCTCTGGCGGGTTTGTGAGCGTTCGGATGGCGTACGAGGGATAGAGCAGGTCAGCCGATGATGAAAATACAGTTGTCTGTACGGCAGAGTCTGCTGAGCCTGAAAAGCCTTCATAACAGCAGGACACGCTCCCAAAGAGGTGGGGTTAGCCATTCTGGTTGATCCAGCAAAAGGTAGTAGAAAGCCATTAATCATAACAATCAACTTAATAATATTACGGTACAATATTTCTTTTATATATCAACAGATGAGAAAAGTATCACACCAAGCCTTGACAATTATCTCTAGCAAGCAATACCATTGCGAGTATATCACTGGAACAAGAGATTTTTGTAAGTAAGATAAAGATAAAAATTCATCAAAAGATAGGGCATATTAAACAAGCTTTTGATATGAATAGTTATCGAGCATATTAGTAATTTTAAAATAATAACTCAGTTGCCCTAGATCACTTAACGTTATGAAATGAATGATAGTTGATAGATAAGATCAATAGGTCCTACAATACCATCAAATTTCACATAGCATTACCCCTAAAAGGCTTTTCACCAAGGTGAAGTTTCGACCCCGTCCAGATCGCTTCAGCATCCTCAACG